TTTTATATAGTAAATGAAGTAGATATCGAAAATTCTCGATNCTATTTTTTTCTTTTCTTATTAAAAATAATTTTTGTTTATTCTTCTTAACTTTCTTTCTTTTCTATTTTTCATTATTTTATTTTTTCATTGTACTGAACAAGCATAAAATTCTCGTGGCGGCCGTATGCCTATGTGCTGCTCTCTCTCCCTGTTTTTTATTCTATTAGCTGAGTGCCCTACTGCTAAACGCACTGGACTCAAAGTAAGCTAGGGGTAGGTTGGCTTTTTATTGCTATTCTTTCCAAATCATGTTTTTAGATTTTTCATCCCAAATTTGACCAGCGCTAGTCATATTAATTTATATCTACGGGACTCATTGATCTAATTTGGGATGTGGTTAGAAAAAAAATAGTACTGTTTAAATTTGAAAAAGAAAAAAAAAAAAAAAAACAAACACACACACCAATAAGTCTTACCTTTTTCTTTTTTTTTTTTTAAAGAAAGCTCAAGTCTTTGTAAATTTGTATTAGAACAACTAAGTTATATTTTTCATAATTAGTTTTAAAGTAGTTCTAATTTGTATTATATTAAGGGTAATCCGTACTTGAAGATATAGTGTAATGTGAATAGTTTTGAGAGGGATGGTAGTAGTCATTGGATAAGTTTATTTAAAACCGTTGAATGAATTTATTGAATTTTTTTTATTTTATATTATATATTTTATTTTCAAACAATGCTACAAAATTTGGTACTTCTTTAGAACTAGTTATGAAAAGTAGGGCCGTTAATAGATCAGATTTTAATCTGAATTTAAATCAGATTAGCTAGATATAGATTAATATATTGTTATCGATAATACGAATTTGATATCTTATATTTTACGAATTTGAATTGGATTTACCTAAATCTGANCAGATTAGCTAGATATAGATTAATATATTGTTATCGATAATACGAATTTGATATCATATATTTTACGAATTTGAATTGGATTTACCTAAATCTGATATGATTGAATTATTTATATTTTTTATATAAACATGAAAAAAAAATAAGTGATTACTTAAAAAAATTTAGTTGAAATTAGGTATAACTTGTTAGTTAATCAATTTATTCAGATCGGATTGCATTTTAGATTATTAATAGATTTAGATATGAATCGCGAAAATAAAATCTATCGGATTGAATTTTTGAAATGGAATTTGGATTTGAACCAATCAGAATTCGAATCAAACCCGATCCTAATTGAAAAGTATGAATTGTATTTAATATAAATTTGATAGGACTTGGTCATAATTTTGGAAAGAAGCGTGGAATCTATTGATGTTTTCTCTTTGTAAACTTTGGGTAGGGCGTTCATCATCCCCCATCATGTTACTTCCGCTCCACCCACCTTCCCTTGTTGCCCTTTTAGCATGGGGTGAGATTACTTTTAATGTATTTTATCCAAGTTTAAATTACTAAATGAGACCTATATGTAGTGGGTTTCTTTGGGGTGAAACAAAAAGCAAAATAAAAAAATTAGTGTTAAAAAAACTCTTTGAACCATTTTGAGTGTTTTCGAAAAAAAATTGACTTGTTCTTGGAAGCCATTAGATAAGTTTAATTTTTATATTTTTTTCTTAATGCTGATAAAAGTTATTTTTGTCTACAAACTTGATGGAAAAATCGTCTCTACGTTCAAACATATCATTTTTCTTTTCCTCTGAATCTTTCAAAAGCTAAGGTTTTTAGTCATTTTCAAACAGGTCCAATATATTATGGAGGGAGGGAAGTGAACGAAGAAAGTATGGTAGGGACTTGGATTGTTTAATGTACTAATACTAACTTAAAGGTTTAGGAGTAAATATTGGATGATTATTAGGTGGTGTCATTATTAAAATTTTCTTATTCACGTTTTATATTTTTATTAGATAATAACAGTATCTAACGATAATGACATGATATCGAGATTTAGTCGATGGCGTGAAAAGAGCCTAATACCAACCAAACAAGATTAGAAAAGTGTACCCACGAGGTCTCTCTCAGCGCACTTTTTCAACGAGGCAGAAAAAAAAGTTTGATTAAGTTTATGGTTTATATACCTAATCTTTAAATAAATATTGTTGTTTTCAAATCAAACTGAAACTACTCTACAAGTTGGGAGGCAGCCCAATGTTAAATTACAGCCGATGATTTGGACAAATTATTTTTATGATTATTAAAGTCTTTCATTCAAAATTTATTATTTTGTGGATATTTTTATTATTTTTGTGTGTATTATTATTATTATTATTATTATTATTATTATGGTATTTATTTTTACTTTTTAAAGGTATAAAAAATATTATCACTTTTGTTGGTGTTTTTGACAAACAGTTATTTTTACTATTTTTTTTAGTATTAAAACCAAATCAAATTTTATGTCTCAATCATTTGAGGTCGCTCATATGAATTTGTCCTCTTTGGTCTTTACCTTTCATTTCGATTATGCGTTATATGCTCATTGGAGTTAAATATTTTTTTTGGTACTATAATAATGATAAAAATATTCACAATTATAATAAAAATACCTACAATAATAATTTTCATGTGTACCTATAATGATTATAATCGGTTAACGACTCATAATCGATAATGAATTTTCGTCGACCAATTATAACTTTATATTTTTAAAAGTGTAATTTTATCATTAAAAATAATAATTTGTTGTACAATATTAAATTTTTTTATACCATAAATTTTATTTTGCAAAAATAATTTTTAAAAATTTATTTAAAAATAATGATCATTTAACTGAAACCCACTATCACTAGTTCGTGTCATTTTTTCATGACATTAGTTTTATCTGTTAATATTATCAAAATCGGATCGAACAATCTAACCGGTAAATTAGACCTTAAATTGATATTATTAAATTAACAATTACGTAGATGAACTGATAATAGACCATGAAAACCCATCGATTTTCATAAAAACTAGTGAACCAGACGGCTCAACAAAAAATATTATTTTTAGATTCTATTTGAACTCTATATTATTTTTTATATAGTAAATGAAGTAGATATCGAAAATTCTCGATTATAGTCAACTCCCAGCTGTTTGTGACAAAGCATGTGCTCTGTATCAGTGGATAGATTTAGCTGACATGGGCTATAATAGCCTCCAGTAGTAGATAGATTTTTCCTTGCGGCTTTACTACTAACTCTCTCTCTCTCTCTCACACACAACTGTGATATGAGTGGTAGTTGGGGCTATTGTTTTTCTTCTCACTCCTGGGAAGGGTAGTTAGATGTTTGGGAAAAATTTTACTGACACTCCTCTAGTTTATTATATTTTCAAAGACATCTCTTTTAATTTCTGAATCTTCAACAACACTCTTTCTAATTTAATTTAAATATCACTAACACCCCTTACCATTAAATTACTATTTCTAACAAAAAAAATTCATCTAAAATACTAAAAATGCCCCTACATAACCTCAACTAATTTTTTTACATAAAATTTTATTAAAATTCGAGTTGTTAAAATTTTAAAAAAAAATCATAAATAATAATTTTAGTAAATAATTTGTTAGTAAATATTAATTTTTTATTTACTAATTTGTAAATTTAAAAAAAAATTGAGCCTATTAATTTTTTTTTTTTTACATATTAAAATTTGAGTTGATTTGAACTCTACTCGAATTGTTAGAGACGATTAAAATTTTCTTTCGAGTCGATTAAAATTATATTTTTTTACTTATTAAAATTCATGTCAATTAAAATTAGATTTATTAAAATTTAATACAAATTAATTAAAATTTTATTTGAGTCGATTAAAAATAATTTTTAATTGTTTCAAACAAAATTTTAATTAGTCCAAATTCTAATACGTAAAAAAAATATAACTTTTNTACAAATTAATTAAAATTTTATTTGAGTCGATTAAAAATAATTTTTAATTGTTTCAAACAAAATTTTAATTAGTCCAAATTCTAATACGTAAAAAAAATATAACTTTTAATTGGCACAAATTTTAATATATAAAANCTTATTAAAATTCATGTCAATTAAAATTAGATTTATTAAAATTTAAGTCAATTAAGTCAATTTCTAATACGTAAAAAAAATATAACTTTTAATTGGCACAAATTTTAATATATAAAAAAATAAATTTTAATTAGGTTGAATTGAATTTTAATCGGTTCAAATTTAATTACGTAAAAAAAANAATTTTAATATATAAAAAAATAAATTTTAATTAGGTTGAATTGAATTTTAATCGGTTCAAATTTAATTACGTAAAAAAATTAAAAAACAGAGAAGGTCTTATTGAAAATATATTTAATTAGAGGGGGTCTCATTAAAAATATATTTATCTAAAAGAGGTGTTGATGAAGTTTGTCCTCAAATATATTACGGATAATTTACTAAAATTGTTTTTTACTTAATATTTTTAATCTGATAAGGGGTATCATTGAAGATTCAAAAATTAAAGAACATGTCTTTAAAGATATGATAAATTAAAAAGGGTGCTGTTGAAATTTTCCCTTGACGTTGTTATTCTACCAACCTGGCAACCCACCACCACAGTTTCGCCAAACCGCCCACCCCCACCCCC